TGTGTGTGTGTGTTTTTTATTTAATAAATGTATTTATTTATTTGAAGATATTTATTTTATTATTATTATTATTATTTTAATCATTTGACTGTTTTCTTTTTCTCATCAGATACATTCTGTGGCTTATTATATGATCTGAGTGAATGTATGAGCTACTACCCTAGCAACTGCATAGCAACACACTAAAACCCATTGTGAACACTAACAACTAGTGACACCCTGGCATCATGGTAACAAGGTTTGCACGGGCAAATACCACTATATGCATAATATAATAATAAAATATAATAAAATACATACTTCAAAATACATTTTTTGGTTCTTTAGTTGTGAACAAGCATATAACTGGTTCATGACAGTATTTACATGTATGTTAAATAAAATACCACAACAATAAAGCACAAGCACCATGCACCACCTCTCTTCAGGTGGTTAGGCAGACTGCTGGTTTATGTGTGCTGGGTTTGCAGTGCCCCGGGACTTGGTGTTTGTCTGAAGCTATATGGCACTATGGAACATTCCTGTATTGTAGCTGACAGGTGCCTGTCTGACAGTGATGGATGCTGATGTTATGACAGCCTCCATTTGCTACGACTGCACTGTGTAGTGCTACAGCTTAGAGTACAAATTGTGGAGAGGAGAAGAGAAGCTGGCATCTGTACAGACAGACACTGTAAACAGATTATGATGGCTGCACTGCAGCTCTCGCTCTCTGCTTATCCCACAATTCCTTGCAACATTCTCTCTCAGCTGCAATGCTTTCCAAGGCTGTATCTGAAACCGAAGGCTGCCTTGCTGCCTAGTTGCCCAGAAAGTCAGTGACTTGACATGCAGAGATTTTGTATGAAGGTTTTTTACCTTCCAAGGCATCATTTCATCATAATCTAAAATTCAAGTAAGCTTTAGATATATCTAAGTGAAAATGTAATGACTAATATTTATTTCTTAGTAGATATTACCATTAAAAAATTTGGTATTTTTTTAATGTTTCAGAAAAAAAAAGTTAAAGAACTGTTTTCTATTTGAATATTAAAATGTAATTTTTTTGTCATGCAAAGCTGAATTTTCAGCATCATTATTCCAGTCTTCAGTGTCACATGATCGTTCAGAAATCATTCTAATATGCTGATTTGCTGCTCAAGAAACATTTCTGATTATAATCACTGCTGAAAACAGTTGTGCTGCTTAATATTTTTGAAAACCACGATACATATCACTGACCATAAACTTTTGAACAGTAGGGTATATAATAAATTTAAAAATATCCATCCATTCTCAAAACTGCTTGAAATTGCAGGGATACCTATTTTGACAAAATAAATGACATTACATTCTACATATTAATTAACATATACTATATACTGTATATATATATAAAATTGAAAAGAATAAAGTGGTAGATAAGGGAGAAGATGAAATCAAGGAGCGGGAAAATGGAACAGAAGGGTGAATTGAGAAAGAGACATTAGTTTGGTCAAGTGTGTATCTAGGAGTCAGCATGGTGCTCCTCTGTGGTTGATGTGCCAGCATTGTGTAATCACCTTATGCCCGCCACAGAGAATCTTCTCTGCCTGTGGGCCCAATGCTCAGGCAAGGAAATATGTGACTGAAAATGTCTTTGTCCCTCAAAATGGAGAGAGAAAAATCCTGGGATATGGGATATATGCTGCCACATCTGCAGGCCTGACACACATGCAACCTGCATATCCAGTCAAACAATAACCCTGGTGTTGGATTACATGACTTATACCACTAAATGAAAAATACTTATTAGCTTCTTAAAAGATTGTATGGATTTTTTGGAGCTGTGGCCTAGTAGTTAGTGCACATGCTCTGACACGTTGAGCAGTGGGGCTCATTAAGGCGTTCTGAATTTGAATCCAGCTTGTGGCATTTCCAGATCTCATTCTCCCCTCTCGCTCCCCATCTTCCCTCCTCTTAACTGAAATCCTTATTGGAGCAAGTTTGTTCTCTTGGCAGCCATCTTGGCGAAACCCCCTGGCAGCTATTTTCTAGTCATGCAAGCACAGCTTCTGCTTGAATGGGGAAGGACCACAATCTCCAAAACTGTTTGTCATGCTGTCCAGTATACACTGCATATTTTAATTTTATATTAATATATAACATTAACATATTAATGTTACTGTATATAAATTTCAAAAATGTTACTTTTCTTAATCTTTATGTCCTTAGGGCATGCAGTGCAACTGGTGCGGCCCGAGGGAGTTCGTTCACAATCCGATTCTACGAACCGAGGGGGTTCGTTCACGATAGCGAATGGACCGAGGGGGGCCCCACTCCCTGCCTTGCACTGGGCCCCGCACCAGCTTGGGTGCAGGTTTAAATGAGCTTTTAAATGTGTGGAAGCCTGTTTTTGCCATGGAATAAAATAATAAAAATATGAACTGATTTTTTTATCTCTCTATTTAGACTTTTTCCTCACAATTCAGATTTGTTTTTCACAATTTTGAGTTTAAATCTCACAATTTGGTCTTTGTTT